ACGACCGCCCAACTCCCCCGTAGATCAGTCTTCGTATTCCTTACGTAGCCCTGTCTCTTTAACCCTGGACAACTAAACATTCGTCCGAATAGCCACTTTCGCGAGGACGAACGGAGCGACGGATTTTTCACCCTTCGCGCCCGGAAGTTTCTCCCTGGGAGCGTTCGGTGTTCTACGACGAGACGGATGACATTGTTTGAAAATGATTTCATGAGAATTTATAGATGAATTGAGTAACGGAGTTGTCTTGTTTAGCACTAGATTTATAAAATTGAATTTTATAAACATTATTTGGTGAATGTTTCAATCGGTTTTCGTTGATCCGATTACACGAATATGAGTCCTGATTGTCTATTTCTACGTCTATAATTTCCAGAATCTAAGTGAACGAATATCAACTTCCCCGGGAACAATAGAATAAACTACAATAAATGCCCGTAAACCTAGTGTTAACCCTTAGCACCCCAGATGGTTTTGTAATCTAGCAACTGCTAATTTTTATAGCACTAGCGATTATGAGAAATGCTTCTACAAAATTTGGATGTGTGGAGAATCGAATAGTTTTAGGGTAGTTTCTTTGAGATTCATTGGAATATTTGATAGTATAACTGGTGTAGTATTGTAGCCTACAGAGTTCGAAGGGTTAAATATTGCACGTGGCAATACAAAGTTTCATTTAGAATACTTAATATTCGAGTCCATAGTTTCGCTGTGTCAAATCAAGTGAGTCAATGGAGTGTAAAGGGTCAGATATGTATAACACGAGTCCAAAGTAAAATTAGAATATCGAATTTCTTATTCTTCGTAAGTTAATTTCACTTTGACTGGTGTTTAACCCTTTGCACTCGGAAGTGACTTACTGGAAATATTTGAAACTAATTCGAAGGGAAATCAGGGCATCATGTTAAATTCAGCATTAAATATCAGATTTTATAGTTTCACTGAGTCGAGTCAAATGGTGACAGAGTCACCTCTCGAGGGCAAAGGGTTAAGAGTGTAGTAATTTGGTTGGGGTCACCAGTGACCTGTCAATCGACGTATTAAAATCTAGTAACATATCTCTTAACACAAACTACGATTAGAATGATTTAGTGATTTTAGTATTCCTCGAGATTTGAAGCGTCTGGTACCGACGCATCCATACAAACACATAGATCAGCTTAATAACATATACATAAATTTCACAGAAACATCTTCACAGCTTTGATAACTATGAAACAGGAATTTCTGGATCATTTTGACCGTCTCGCAGTGCTAGTCTCAACCCTTAAAATGCTGAGTGGGGTCCTATGGGGAGCCCAGAAAGTATTTTTAATAATTTTGTAAGTAATTTCTTATAATTTCTCATATTTCATGTATTTTCTCTTTTTTCATCGAGTATTGTAGATGATTTGTCTATTCTAAAAACACCATTATTTTATTTTTAGCTATAAACATACTAGGATCTCCTGGAGAAAATATGAAAAACGACAAAAAATTACAAAATTATCAAGGAAAAATACTTTCTGGGCTCCCTATAGGACACTCAGCATTTCAACCCTTTGCACTCCAGAGTCTCTAAGTCATCAAATGATTTGACACAGCAGAATTGTAAACTCTGATATTTAACATTAAATTTCGTACAATGCATCAATGTACGAAATATCGAAAGAAAATCGTTCTCTTCTTCAATGCATGTGAGATTTCTTAATTCAATCTAAGAAAATGTCTGCATCTCATTAGGAAATACTGAATATTTCCGGTGACTTCTGGAGTGCAAAGGGTTAAGGGTTGAACCGAGCTACTTTAGTTGAAATATAAAAATACGCGTGCGTATAATTCGTAGTCTACGAGTCGGATGTTTCGTCAGATAGTAACGCTAATTTAAGTTTAGTTATCTAGGGTTAATCCGGACCCGTCCTCCGCGAGCTGGGTCTCTTTGCCTGCGCGCGTGCATGACTGGTTAGGTTTCTTCCTCTTTCCCTTCGTCCCTCCGCAACGTCTCGCATCGCGTCTTCTTCGGCGATCGTACGCGATTCGCTCGTCTACCTTCAGCCGTCAGACTTCGACGTTGCCCGACGAGGCAACGCCGGCCGTTTCCTCGTCCTGCCTCGCGGTTCGCGTTCGACCCCTCCTTTTTCGGGCGAGCGGCCCTAAAACGTTCAATTCCGAAAGTTCGAATCAAATTTCTTCTCAGTCGAGCACGCTCATCGAAACGCTGTCCAATCCGATTCCAATTTGTCGGACGTACGTCCCTTAGGCGTCGCGTGACAATCCTTCCCGAACTGACCCCTGACGGACCGGAAGTAGTTCCAGTTTTCGCGGAAAATAACGGATGACGAGAAAGAAATTTATAGAGGCGACCTAGTGCAACAATTAATCGAGCTAAACCTATCGAGTTAAATCGACTTTTGAGATTCTATAGCAACTTCAACGGTGCATCGAGATTAATTGATTTGTAATGGATTAATTTCGATAATTTCTCAGAGACTTTTTGATGACTGCAAACAGAAGAGAGGAAACAAAATAGCTTTGTTCCTTAATACGTTAAGCGCCATGTCAGTCACTGGTGACTGACGCGTCTGAATGACTAAAAAACAATCGTAACACACAAGACAACCGATGTGAAATAAAAATGTTTAATAAGGTAACTACGTTGATATCAGTGTAACGCGAGCGTTGCAACGCCAAACAATTCATAATCATTCCTACTTTTCTTTGCTACGAAAGACAAACTCTATGGGAAAACGCTTAAGATTTTCGTGGCGTTTAACGTGTTAACGAAACATCCTCTACCTCATCATAGAACGTTGAAATATTTCCGGTGAAAACCCACTGAGTGGGTTAACCCTTGCCCTACAATGACTCATGAAGATTTCCAAACTAATTTGACAACAATGTTGTTCATTATCCACGGATCAAAGCACATTACTTCGCTATCATCAATGTATATCTTCAAATGAACCTTCCGCTCGAAGTAGAACAGAAAATTTCGCTACTTTTCTTCGAAATTGCTAGTAAAACGTTCCACGATCCTAGTAGCGAAAATGAATAGTACGTCAAGGGGTAAATCGCGATCCGCCGATGCCTCGTGGCCGTCGAGGACGAAGAAAGGAGAGACGAATCAAAGCATCAAGCACATTACTTCGCTATCATCAATGCATCATCTCCAAACTTACCTTCCGCTCGAAGTAGAATAGAAAATTTCGCTACTTTTCTTCGCAACTGCAAGTAAAACGTCCCACGATCCTAGTAGCGAAAATGAATAGTACGTCAAGGGGTAAATCGCGATCCGCCGATGCCTCGTGGCCGTCGAGGACGAAGAAAGGAGAGACGAATTCGGGCACAGGGTTGGGATCGCAGTCTGGTCTGCATCCGATCCGGTTCGGGGAAGTATTTACGCCGGGCGAAGGGAGGTCCTGCGAGGAGCAGCAGAAAAACGAGAGAAAAGAAAGGCGAACGGACGGGGTCTCTCTGCTCGCCAGCTGACGGTCTCGTGCCGCAACTCGAAACTCTTTGCGAAGATTCGATCGCTGGCATTTGGATATCGCGCGGGAGCCAAGCCGAGATCAAGAGAGACCGAGACCAAGACCAAAACCAGACTCGATTGTATCCGGACGGGTGACATCCGACCTTCCGCGACTCGTAACGGAGACGCAACCGGTTATCGCGCGACAAGATCGAAACCGTCGTCGAACACGACCGTTCCCTTCCGTCGAACAACATTTTCGCGGAAAGCCATCGACCGCGTAGGTACGCGTTGTTCCCCTTTCGCGATTCCCTCTTGGCCCGCTCGTTTCTCTTCCTCCTATTCTCGAGTCGGTGTGTATTGATCCGTCGAGTTTTCAAAAGTAAAATAGGTTATACCGTTGAATCCCGCGAAACTATCGTTTCGGATGAACGGCAACGAACGGCAAACGAACGGCAAACGAACGGAGGACCAAACGGTGAAGAACGGGGCGCGAAACCAAAAGAAACAGAGACGCTATGG